CACTATTGTGGTTAGTGGAGAACAGCCATCGGACCGGATTTTTCAGAAAATTGAGATGATTTCGTTTCCTTCCTTATCAGAGAGGGGCCCCGCAGCGGTGCGGAGCGGGGCTTCTTTTTGCCAACCTTTGGTTCTGGGCGGGTTCTATGAGCAGGTACAAGGCTGGGAGTGGGGGAGGGAGTTAGCCTTTGCTCAAGCTGAAAAGGTGGGAACTTCAACGGCAAAGAGAAGTTCTCAAATTATCTTCCACTTTTTATCAAACACATAACATGACCCGGTAAAGTTCGTCCTTCGTCTTCTAACTTCTTGTTCTCAACACATCCTTTAGCGAAAATTGCATAAAACTCCTAAAAGTAAGCTTTCGGGGTATTTTACTAACTCTAATTTACGTCCTTTAGCGAAAATTGCATAAAACTGCTAAAAGTAAGCTTTTACTCACTCTAATTTTTTTTAGCATATTTTTTTCAAAAGTCAAGTTTTATAGTAAATACCCCCTAATACAAAAAGTTTTTATTTTGATGAAAACTCTCTTAATTTATATAACAAATCATTTTTGGATCCCAATAAAAGAAAACGCCAGACTGTGGTTATATATTGTTGGACCCATCCATTATGCCGGACCGGAACTGTACAATATCGGGCTACCTATTCTAGACACAATTTTACCTAACCGTAGCTCATAAATGCCGGACAACTCATTAATCCAAAAACAAATGTCGGACCACACTTGTAAAAAGTTGGAACAAGCTCTTCCAAATGCTGGACCGCCATGGTGAAATGCGGAAACGCCATGGTGAAGTGCCAGCCCGTTCCAAATAGTGAAGTGCCAGACTGTTACAAATAAGTGACTTAAGTATTGGAACGCCTCTTTCAAACGGTGAACAACCATGGTGAAGTGATGTATTATATTTTAGACACTATTTTACCTAACCGTAGCTCATAAATGCCGGACAACTCATTAATCCAAAAACAAATGTTGGACTGCACTTGTAAAAAGTTAGAACAAGCTCTTCCAAATGCTAGACCGGCATGGTGAAATGCGGAACCGCCATGGTGAAGTGCCAGACCGTTCCAAATAGTGAAGTGTCAGACCGTTCCAAATCAGTGACTTAAGTACTGGAACACCCCTTCCAAACGGTGGACCGCCATGGTGAAGTGATGTATTATATTCTGGGCAAGCTTTCTATGCTTCCCCTACGACATAGAAGTTCTATCCTCCCCTTATACAACCGTCCATTTTGAATGAAGGGCTAAGATTGTCCCAATTACAATGTCACGTCTCTACACTATTTTATTTTTAATTTTTTTTCTATAAACTATTTTGACACCGAAATTTGGACATCCATTCCTCTATTAAACTCGAACTAGCGAAAAATATCTAAAAAAATATTTTCTACAAAATAAAATAACTAAAATACCCTTGAAAATTTTAAGGGGTATTTTGGTCATTATATTTTTATCGAAAAATTATTTTTAGTATTTTTTATTGGTGCACCCCTATGAGAAAATGATATGTTCTAAATTTCATATTCATACAATTTGTATTAAAAAAACTAAAAATAAAATATTTTAAGACGTCAGATCTAAGATCAAACGATAAGTGGCTCTCTTGATCAAAATTGGACGGCTCATTGGTAAGGGGAGGATATAACTTCTAAGTTGTAGGAGAAGCATATAAACCCTTCTCTTATATTTTAGTCTTGTTTTTTTTCTAAATGAGAAGTGCCAGCCCGTTCTAAATCAGTGACTTAAGTATTGGAACGCCTCTTCCAAACGGTGGACCGCCATGGTGAAGTGATGTATTATATTTTGGGCAAGCTTTCTATGCTTCACCTACAACATAGAAATTCTATCCTCTCCCTTATGCAACCGTCCATTTTGAATGGAGGGCTAAGATTGTCCGAATTACAATGTCACGTCTCTATACTATTTTATTTTTAATTTTTTTTCTATAAACTATTTTGACACCGAAATTTGGTCGTCCATTCATCTATTAAACTCGCACTAGCAAAAAATATAAAAAAAATATTTTTTTATAAATAAAATAACCAAAATACCCTTGAAAATTTCAAGGGGTATTTTGGTCATTATATTTTTATCAAAAAATTATTTTTAGTATTTTTTATAGGTGCACCACAATGAGAAGATGATATGTACCAAATTTCATATTCATACAATTTGTATTAAAAAAACTAAAAATAAAATATTTTAAGACGCCAGATCTAAGATCAAACGGTAAGTGGCTCTCTTGGTCAAAATTGAACGGCTCATTGGTAAGGGGAGGATAGAACTTCTATGTTGTAGGGGAAGCATATAAATCTTTCTCTTATATTTTAGTCTTGTTTTTTTTCCAAAAGAGAAGTGCCAGACCGTTCCAAATCAGTGACTTAAGAACTGGAACGCGTCTTCCAAACGGTGGACCGCCATGGTGAAGTGATGTATTATATTTTGGGCAAGCTTTCTATGATTCATCTACAAAATAGAAGTTCTATCCTCCTCCTTATGCAACCTTCCATTTTGAATGGAGGGTTAAGATTGTCCCAATTACAATGTCACGTCTCTATACTATTTTATTTTTAATTTTTTTTTTATAAACTATTTTGACACTGAAATTTGGACGTCCATTCCTCTATTAAACTCGCACTAGCAAAAAATATAAAAAAAATATTTTCTATAAAATAAAATAACCAAAATACCCTTGAAAATTTCAAGGGGTATTTTGGTCATTATATTTTTATCAAAAAATTATTTTTAGTATTTTTTATAGATGTACCCCAATGAGAAGATGATATGTACCAAATTTCATATTCATACAATTTGTATTAAAAAAAACTAAAAATAAAATACTTTAAGACGTCAGATCTAAGATCAAACGGTAAGTGTCTCTCCTAATCAAAATTGGACGGCTCATTGGTAAGGGGAGGATAGAACTTTTATGCTGTAGGAGAAGCATATAAACATTTCCCTTATATTTTAGTCTCGTTTTTTTTCCAAATGCCACGTTACAAATCAGTGACTTAAGTACTGGAACGCCTCTTCCAAACGGTGGACCGCCATGGTGAAGTGATGTATTATATTTTGGACAAGCTTTCTATGCTTCCCTTACAACATAGAAGTTCTATCCTCCCCCATATGCAACCGTCCATTTTGAATGGAGGGTTAAGATTGTCCCAATTACAATGTCACGTCTCTACACTATTTTATTTTTAATTTTTTTTTGCTATTAGCTATTTTGACACCGAAATTTAGACGTCCATTCATCTATTAAACTCGCACTAGCGAAAAATATAAAAAAACTATTTTCTATAAAATAAAATAACCAAAATACTCTTGAAAATTTCAAGGGGTATTTTGGTCATTATATTTTTATCAAAAAATTATTTTTAGTATTTTTTATCGGTACACCCCAATAAGAAAATAATATATACCAAATTTCATATTCATTCAATTTGTATTAGAAAAACTAAAAAAAAAATACTTTAAGATTTCAGATCTAAGATTAAACCGTAAGTGGCTCTCTTGATCAAAATTGGACGGCTCGTTGGTAAGGGAGGATAGAACTTCTATGCAGTAGGAGAAGCATAGAAACCTTTCCCTTATATTTTAGTCTCGTTTTTTTTTCAAATGAAAAGTGCCAGACCGTTTCAAAGGGTGAAATAACATACTGTTCCAAATAAGTGATTTAAGTATCGGACGGCCTTTTCCAAACGCTGGAACACCATGGTGAAGTGATGTATTATATTTTAGTCTCTTTTTTTTTCAAACAAAGGTATTTTAATCTCGATTTTTTTGTTTAGAGTTGGGGAGGTATTATTTAGGAAACATAGTTTTGAAAAAAAAAGCGCTAAAAAAAATTTAAATTAAGGTAAATTATTTTAGAAAGTTTTTTAATTTTTTTTATTTTTGAGTTTTATGTCAATCAAAGCTCCGCTTTCTCTTTCTAAAAAAGAGTAAAACCCGGCAAGCCGATCTCTTAGTCACGATCTCCTTCCACGGGGACTTGTAGACCCCACAATTTTCCACTATAAAAGACGCTCTTTCCTCTCTCCCATCGCTCGAGCTCCGCACCCCTCACCAACCCGAACCCATCCCTCGAGCCTACGAATCCATCCCTTGAGCCCACTCGAACCCTCCACCATGGACCTCCTCCGCCGAAGAAACCAGCGCCGACCTCTCGCCGGGAAACGCCTCTCAGCGGTGAAACGGCCCTTGAATGCTGGAAAACCGCTAGCCTCCGACGCCCTCCCCCTCCCCGTCTGGTTAACAAACAAGGTCTTCGTCGTCCTCTTCTTTGCCGCCTCGTATTACCTCATGCGCAGGTGGAGAGAGAAAATCAGAAACTCGACTCCTCTGCATCTCTTGACCCCCTCCGAGCTTATCGCCATTGTCTCTCTCATCGCTTCTATTATCTATCTCCTTGGTTTCTTTGGGGTGGACTATGCCCAGCATTTCATCTCAGAGCCTGAGCCCCAAAACCACCCAAAAAAGCCGGAAAATCGCTTAAAAAAACCAGAGAACCGCACCAATAAACCAGAGGAGGGCACCCCAAAATGCGACTCGGCCCCAAAATTCGATTTGGGGGCTGGCGATGATGAATTGGTCGATTTGGTTGCGTCGGGCTCGGTACCATCCTACAGTCTAGAGGCTCGGTTGGGTGACTGCAAGAGGGCTGCTTTGGTGAGGAGGCGTGCACTCGAGAAATCGACAGCCAAGATCCTCGACGGGCTCCCATTACATGGCTTCAATTACGAGACCATATTCGGGCAGTGCTGTGAGATGCCGGTGGGCTATGTTCAGCTCCCTGTGGGCGTCTGCGGGCCATTGGTCCTGGACGGGGCCGAGTACACGGTCCCAATGGCCACGACCGAGGGATGCCTGGTCGCAAGCACGAACAGGGGGTGCAAGGCGATTGCGATGTCTGGCGGGGCGTCGAGCGTGGTGCTGCGGGACTGCATGACAAGGGCCCCGGTTGTGCGGTTCAGGAGCGCCAAGCGGGCGGCCGAGCTGAAGTTCTTCTTGGAGGAACCCATCAATTTTGATACTTTGGCTGTGGTTTTCAACAAGTATGTATGGGGCTTGCTCTTTCATCTCTGTCTCTCTAACTCTCATTTGAAGGTTTTCAACAACTATGGGGGTTGCGTTTTCAAATTGTCTTTCTTAACTCTCATCCCTCTCTCTTTCTTTCTCTTACAGAATTTGTGATATGATACTTTCTATACCTTTCTGCAATTCTCGTTTCAGATCCCCCTCTCTCTCTAATGCTTTGAGATCTCTCTATATCTGTCATTTTGTTGGGCTTTCTTGGATGGGGGTTGTCAAAAGTAGGGGGTTACATTTTCATTTCTCTCTGTACTTCTCTAATTTCAGATCCCTCTCTCTCTCTCTCTTTCAATGTGTACGTTGAGATCTCTCCATCTCTCTCATTTTGGTCTGACTTATTGTGATGTGGGTTCTCTCTCTCTCATCTCATTTTGTTAGGCTTTTTGGGATGTGGGTTCTCTCTTTCATTTGAGAGATACACAGGTTCCTCTCTCTCTGTTGGCTTTCTTGGATTATGGTCTTTCTCTCTCTGTTTTTGATTTATTGGATGTGGGTTTTAGTGGATTTAGGGCTTTCTTTTTGTTGGGTTTTCTTGGTTTTTTGGCTTTGTGTGATATGTGGATCAAGCGTGCAAGGTTTTAGGAGATATGATGCAAGTGATCTATTTGTGTTTATTTTCATTTTTGTTTGCTGGCTGGTTTTCTCTTCATCTTCCTGTTTTTGTAACATATTTTTTTATTTTCTGATAGCGGATGGGATTTGGGTTATTCGTGATTTTGCTTAAATTTCTGATATTTTTTAATTTATTTGAATTTTTGGTTTGCAGTGGTATTTGTTTTATTTGTATTCTTATAATCCATGTTGCATTTTCTCTGTTTTCTTTATTTTTGAAGGATATTTCTTTAAATCTTGTGGTATATTTCTTATTTCTTGGATGAATATCCAGACAGTTGATGTTGTGGGAGATTTTTTTCTCTGTATTTCCCCTGTTTCTGGTTTTTCCTTTTTTTCCTTTCTTTGGTTTTTATTTTCTTTATAAAAAGCTTTTTCGGTAAATTACAGGATTAGTTGAATGGAAAAGTTTATATAAGGTTACAACCTTAAAATGTAGAATTACAGATGCACCTCAAAAATCTATCGGAAAGGATATTTTAATGTTGTATTTGATCATCTCGACATCGAGATGTATGAATATAAAAAAAAAAAGGTTTTTGAGTCTCAGAAATAGTTCATCTTGGAACACATTATCTAGGCCGTCCATTTTCAAGATTTTCATATGATTATAGATGTCTTTGATTTTAACTATTTTTGGAGTTTAAAATTTATGGATATGAAAATAGATTTTAAGATAATCCTAAGAATTTTTTACAACAAAATTACATGTTGTGATAAAATTTGGAGGTACGCCTGAATTGGATTGTTTAGTTTGCAGCCTTATAGAAACCGCACCCTTAGTTGAATAGCGAGAATTCTATGAACTGCACAGTTCTTTAAATTTTTTCTCCAGTTTTTCTCATTTTCCTTTTTTGTTTGGCATTTTCCTTTGTATTGCGCCGATGGTGTCTTCATGTGTGAATTGGATGTCCACTTTCTTTTCCTAGCTTCAATTGGATGTCCAGTTTCTGTGCCATGCTTCAAGGAACAGAAAACCCACTTCTTTTAATACTCTCTCTCTCTCTCTCTCTCTGAGGTAGAAATTGAAGTTGGTTTTGTGGGTGAATTGCAGGTCTAGCAGGTTTGCAAGACTTCAAGGGATACAATGCGCTCTCGCTGGTAAGAATTTGTACATGAGATTTAGTTGCAGCACAGGAGATGCAATGGGAATGAACATGGTTTCAAAGGGTGTTCAAAATGTGTTGGATTTCCTTCAAAGTGATTTCCCTGACATGGATGTAATCAGTATCTCAGGTGAGTTCTTCTCCCTTTGTTTTATCATTTCTATCTTTAATTCACTCATACTAAACATTTTTGCTAATTTACTTTTTGGGAATTTCTTGGTGTTCTCTATTGCTAGATTTCCTCTGTTGGGTTGGTTTGGATTGTTTCTAGTTGTGATCTTCTTTTTTGGTCGGTCTAATACATTTCTTTTTTGGATTTTGATTATTCCTCTATTATGGAAGTTATAGCTTTTGTGAATTGAGTTTCAGTAATTGCATGAACTTTTTTGGGCTTTACCTCTGTTTTTGGGTAAATATTTTTGGCCATTTCCTCTAGAGAATTAGTTAGCATTTCTTTTCTTTTTCTTTTGTGTAAATTTCCTAACTTTTCATGATTAACCGGAATGCTATAAATGTAAGATCTATTTATTGCTCTTTGTAGCATAATTCCAAATGGGTTTTCTTCTTCGTGGGTTCCCTTGTGTGATATGTTGTTGCAACATCAAAACCCAAATTCCACAATAGATTGATATGTTTGTCCTTATATATTATTTGGTATTAAAAGCTCAACTTAAAAAGGATTGAAACGTCTGTGTGTCCTTTTCTCAATTTGTTTATGGAGTTTTAGCGAAATTCTGGTCCTCTCTCTTTTATCACGTTTACCTTGATACCATCACAAAAAAAAAAAAGAAGAATCCCATGTTTCCTTTACTTCCAAAAGAAGTGAAATAGGGGTGGTTCTTTCTCAGAATGGATGCATAATTTGTCCTATATCTTTGTTGATAAATGCATAGTTCTATGAGTATATGATGTTGATAAATACTTGGTTGCTCTTGTGAAAACTGTTTGAGATTGACATAAATCTTCACCTAGCTCATTGTCATGTAAATTTTTGTCTGTCGTTTCTACGAACTTCCCCCTTCTTTTTTTCTTTTTATTGAATCATTTGGTGTTTTCATTTCTTTTCTAATTTTATTCCTTTGACTCTTTAAGATTCAAATTTATGGTAATTAAAGAAAGGGCATCATATCTCAGATCGCTTTCCTGTATCATAGCAAAACATCTGAGATTGACGTTAAAACTTCCCTAGTTTTTGTTGCTAAATCAACTTGTCTTGTCATGTCCATTAACCTAGGATGCGTCATGTTTTTCTCAATCAGGCTCTCATTCTTTTCTGTTTTTTTCTTTTTCTTAATCCCTTTAAGCTATTTAATAATTAGGACCATATTTACAATTGGATAGAAAGGTTTTCCATTAGAATGCTTTCCTGTATCAGATACCAATTTCTCCCCCCAATTATGTTATATGTTACATGATCTACTAGTTACCACTTAAGTAAATCAATTTTATTCTTCTTGACAACCTAAATATTTTATCCACTCGAGCGCGTTACCTGATTCTATTTAACACTGAAATTATCCATATTCATGGTGGTCCCTTAGCTTTCTAATACTACTCAAACAATCAACAATCCTTGTGGACCATTAGACAGCTCATCTTCTTGAAACCACCACAGAGATGTCAATAATTCACTAAAGGCTTTTCAACTTTTTCTCAGTAGCTTTAGCTGTACATACCAGAAAACAAAGCAATTAATCCCAATGCACGCATAGATAGGTAATGTAGTATTCCCCTTTTTCTTTTTCTTTTTGAATTTGGGTATGGCTGATTTCTGTTTTTTCTTTCTTCTTTTTAACCTTGTGAACACTCCGCCCTAATAAAGTAAGTAATCCAACAAATAACATGTGGTTAACTTACCATGTCTTTCGGAACCTGGATATTTAATTTCCATGGTTTTTCTTGTTAGTCATAGGTATCGAAAAATTAAGCCTGTAAATAACATATGCCTCATTTAGAATTTCTATTTTTTCGAATATGCGCAGGCAATTTCTGTTCTGATAAGAAACCAGCAGCCGTGAATTGGATCGAAGGAAGAGGGAAATCAGTTGTTTGTGAGGCCGTAATCAAAGAAGAAGTGGTGGCCAAGGTTCTCAAGACCTCTGTTTCTGCTCTTGTAGAGCTCAACATGCTTAAGAACCTAGCAGGCTCTGCAGTTGCAGGTGCACTTGGTGGGTTCAATGCTCATGCTAGTAACATAGTTACTGCCATTTACATAGCAACTGGTCAAGATCCTGCTCAAAATGTAGAGAGCTCTCACTGTATCACCATGATGGAGCCTCTGAATGATGGCAGAGATCTCCACGTCTCTGTTACAATGCCCTCCATTGAGGTAATCATCAATACGGTCAATTAGCAGTGAACATGAATTCATGGTAATTAATGTGTTCCTCTAAACCCCTTAATGTTACATCAACATGGATATACATGTGTGTGTGTGTGGGTGGTGTGGAGAGAGAGAGAGAGAGAGAGAGAGAGAGAGAGAGAGAGAGAGAGAGACGACGTAGTTAGGTT